CCTCAATGTTTAAGCACATGTGAATATTCACATTCACCAATTTTGGTTATGTACCAAAGGTTTGACTACGAGGGCAAAATCGCCGGTGAGCGCAATTGGCTTTCTTCTCAAGAGCTCTCACAAACGCCAATAACAAAGAGAGTTGGACTCGGTTAGATGCGCATATAGTTTAGTTTACTGTAACCCTGACCTTCAAGACTATGCATATGGAATAGGCCTAAATTGAACAAACATCTGCACACCCTCGTTCATCCCTTTTAATGAAGTAAGTTATTAATGTGAACGAACACCGGCCGAGCACATGCAAACATTGTGCGGGTTTTGCCAATTTAATAGGCCTAATACCTATTCATTGAGGGGAAAATGAAATTGCAAAGAGGCGAAAAAAATACAAAGATCTCCAGTAAGTACGAGGTGGAATATACATGAATTCTTTTTATGATCTATTATTTTTTTCCTGTAATCTTCTTTTTCTAATTTTCTTTCTTTGAGTGACACTGCATGGACAGGACACACTAGATACGACCAGCTATTCTTGGTTGGAGCAATCTATTTCGGAACTGTCTACTTTCATAAATTCGGTATAAATCTAGTTTTAGTCAATAATATTAGACTATACATCCCCATCAGCGGTTGGGTGTCGGGTACATTCCACGTAGGCCTATACATTTTAACAAAATCAAAGTGAAAAAAATCACTGTGAGATGGGCCAAAATAACCAGGTTCTTTTAGTTGACATTAACGGGAGATTGTTAGTTATCGACTAATTGTAGTTTACAGTTGTTATATACCCAACAAACATACACACACTCCCTCAGTACATGTCTCTATGATTAAATTGTAGACGTACGAAGATTATTCTGATTTTGTTCGCAATAATTTAGTTTCGTTATCACATTTTTCACCCTCTATATGCATTTTTACACTTTTCCTTTTTCCCCAACTTTTTGCTCCTTTCTGTTTGATATGCTTACTTCAGGCTGTTTTATATCTTTGATTTTACTTACGTGTTATTCATTTTTTCATGATTACTGAAAGAAAACAAAATACGAATTAAACAATTATATGAAATGAAAAACATTCCACAAATGTCACAAAATGGTTGCCCGTTCACGAAATTGGATGCCTAAATGTCTACCACGGAGTTTTGGCGCGAATGTGATTGCTTTCTGCATGTTTCTCTAATTGAATGCTGATTTTCACTTCTTATAAGAAGACTACGCAATCGCATGCTCAAGAAGTGATCATTCTTTGCTCCACGAATGGGTAAGATTTGCAGCTTTGCATGGTGGAAGCTACGTGAGCTGTAGGTTGCAGGAACACTGTGGAAAGTATCTCTTCAGAAGGGGTGTGGTTCCGAGAAGAACCGGTAAGTATTAACTCGACGTTTCGGCCAGGATGCTCTAGCCGATCCTGAAGGATGGCCAGGACAAACGTCGAGTCAATACTCACCGGTTCTTCTCGGAACCACACCTCTTCTTCTCGGAACCACACCTCTTCTAAAGAGATCTATGAATGATGATCTGGATCAGTAATCTATTTCGTGCTTAGATGAATGAACCTATCGCTAATTCGGATGCAGAGTTCACGAATTCGGCAGGGAAAATCGCAAGAAAAAGAAATACTTCCTTGATTTCGCTTGATTAGAAGGCTTTCAAAAAATTAATCATGCAAAGTGATTTTTTTCCTAAATCAAAACAGTGTTGACAGAGAAAGCATATTATCTTAAACAGATTTGCAATGAAAGATGGGCTTCACTTGAACCTTCTCGTATCTCAATTGAACGGAAACATCACAAAGATTAAAGATCTTTTACATTTGGACGAATCTTAATTTGAATGCCAAGTTCGTAAATATCAGTTGAAATGCCTACAAATCAATTGTCTACAAACGAGATAGAGTGACAAAGTCTTGTTCGCACGACCCAACATGAACAAAATCGACAAATGTACGGTACTGAATGAGTGCTGAAAATTGAAGGAACATTAAACCGCTATCCCCTTCAAGACAAAAAAAGGACAAGGACCTGGCACTCGCAATAAAGCCAATCCCGACCAAGCAAATACAAGTGCCACAAAATTGCTTCCCAATGATGTGCATGAGAACATACACAGTCATAAAGTTTGCCTCACCTAATCCTGTACATTATACCCACCAGCACATTGTATTATTATGCGGGAACCGCCAGCATTATTCCTGGGTATTATGCAAACTAAACACTTCAACTTACATATTTTTTCTCTACAACATCATTATCCAATATCCACATCATCTTCAGCAGAATGCTAATACAATCACGTATGTGCATATATCAACAAAGCCTCTCCACTGGAAAAAAAGACAGTTGTGGGTACTAAATTTACATCCCTTGAAGCCAAATTAAACAACCTTTCTCTTTAAAGTAATTCAGTGAATCTAAACAATTTTAGATAAATCCTTCGTACAGATGAATGTTGTTTATCAGCAAAGAATAAGACATGGGAAATATTTAATTCCAATTTCTTCAAATTCTTAAATACCTTATTCCTGTGAAACGATTTCTCTAAGTTCTGGCCTCTTTTAAAAGTTATCGGTCAGAAGAAAAAGCAATCAAAGAAAATGTATTGTTTTATGAGAAAAATGTTTTAGATTAAAAAACTTCCCTCTAGGGTATATACTCCTTTCCAGCAGTAAGTGAAACCACCACCTCCAGAGAATGTTGTGCTGCTATTCCGTTTGAGCTTTCTGGTTACCGACAGACTAGTTGGCACACTTCAAGGCGACTGACGCACGGTACTTGCCGACTGAAATGCACCAATGTCCCAGATTCGGGTCGAGTTGCCCCTTCACTCATAGTAATTTAGACAATTTGACTTGACACTTGGTTATGTTATGAAAACGAATCAAGGACTTGTGTGAGCATGGAACAGATAACAATGAGAATATTTAAAACTATAATGATATACCACAGCCTGATTTTTCTAAGCCTAAAATTCTGAATAGCAGGTACAGAACCATTTGGGGGGGGGAGCAGATATTTGGAAATCTTTTATAAAATATTTAATGGCCTTTATGACGTGTGATGCCAATGTTCGGGGCTTTTCACGAGCTTTTTAGGAAGGGAAATGAAATTGCCTTTCATCATCAATCTTCTTTTGGAAATGTTACCAGCAAGACAAGTTTCTTTGGTGGTGGTGGTGGTGGGGGGGGGGCTTAGAAAAGAGAACACTGCAGAGCACAGCCTTGCAGAGCACAGAGACCCAAGAGCAGAGCCAAGAGACTTTCTGAACTCTGTGGAAAAGCTCTTGGGCTTCAAACCAACACTGCAGATTATTCCGCACGAAGTGGGTCTCTGCACGGTATATTTTTTGTTCGTGATGTATGGAAATCAACACAACAAAGAACTTAGACTACTAGTCTTTTGTCCAGCCGTCTAATCTTTCAAGGTTAATTTCCATCTACTCTCAGTTCAGAAACACTCCATCCAGCAGTAGGATTTGAGCAACAACCGCAGCTTGACAATCCAATTTCTAGTCTCCAATCTTTCCATTATTTTCACTCGAATCCTTCCTAAACCTCAAGCATCGTTAACAGAGTGTCACAATCCTTCGATGCAATGAAGAGACTATCGTTTCCAACCATTAACCGCCAAAAAAGGGGGGAATGCAATTTCGGTAAACATAATTCCCTCCAGCACGAGCTCTGCAGTTATCATTAATATCCTTCCCCCTTTCTGTAAGCTGGCATTTTGGAACTGTCAACTATGAAAGACTGACATGATGTATGACGATACCTCGGCAGATAGCGGCCCATCCGCAATAGTCAGTAAAATGTGGGTCAATCTGTATGTTGGGGACTGTTCAGAGAATATGAACACAAAGAGATCAACAGCCTCCGTCAAGGACCACGAACCGTGCCAAACGGACATTGGAAATCCTTTGTTTTGTTTCTTTCGCGTGCGAGGGGGGATTTGCATTCTAAGCACAACAGAGACGTCACAGATCCAACGGGAGCTCACTGGACAGCAGTTGATAAAGAGTACGGCCTATATTTTAGAATTGCGATTCTGGCAATGTGCGAGTGCTTTACAATAAAATTGTGATTCACATTTGACGAGATCTGCACTGCTGACAGGCCACTGAAGTGAATCCATTGTCTTTACATTCAGTTGAGCACAATGGGAAAACCCAACATATCCAGTCTGCATTTAAACTGTCACAAACAATTCGAGAAATGGCGCTGTTTGGGAAACCAGACATAGCGATTAGCCCTAGCTAAACTCCACATTCTACTTTAAAAGGCTTCCATAAAATGCGGACGGTGTCTGAATGCTAACAATATGTCTCTCGCCCCTAGTGTTTACAACACACAGTACTAAAGAGTTGTGAAAGACCTACGCTAATAAAGATGACCTCCACATACATTTGCCATGGAGAATTCAAACTCCCTTGAAAAAAAAATCTAAATCTCACATTACGTATCATCAGTACTCAGTTGTAGTTTATGGTCCTTTGTGCGTGCAAAGCTGGCTTTTCAAAACCATATGTCAGGAGGCGACGTGAATAAAAATAGCAGCGGAAGAGATATAAAATTAATCCACGTAACCATCTCTGCCAGACACCACATTTTTTTCCATATTTGGAGGCGCCAAGAGTTTTACCAGAGTATGAAACATGTGCTGTTTATTTGGGCAATTATTTTTGGCAACAGTATCCGCGGTAATTGTTCCATTCAAAAAAATAGAAAAGTCATACACTTATTTTTAAAAACTGTGGTGTTCACTCCCAGTGAATGCATAGTTTCCTCGATAACATCTTGTCCAATACTCACAAAAATTGAGACAAAGGACATCTGTGATTGATGCCTACAAAAGTACAAGCAAACTGCAGAAAATCAAGAGATTTCTTACCACGGTGGCTCAGGATTCTAGGCTATAAAGACATGTTTTCCTGCCCCAGTGACGACTTTCAAAACAAATGTGACAAAACACGACAAGTAGAAATGGCTCTTAAATGCACACCTTCCGTTTATCATTTCAAGGCGACTTATCGTCCTTTTTATTTCATCATAACCTGGAGTGTTTTTCTTTTTTTTTGGGTAATTAACAATCTTCTTCGTTTGAATAAATCCATCGACTGTCACCGTATTGGTCGAGAACAGGATTGACCTGCACTTATTAGAGTCTTCTCAGATATATGTCCGATATAAACTGCACACGGGCCACCTGTGACATCCAGGAGCAAACATCTTAATTCTCACAGCTGGGCAGAACACGGCACTTAAGGCCTGTTTTTTACTACATTACCTAGGAGGTTTTACAAGACAGGAACACACCATTATGACGAAACAAAATTATAAGGTATCCCCAGCTACCAGGCTAAATCAACACGATTCAATTAAAAAGCGCTGATAAGCTAATTAGCAGGGCCAAGCGAGTCGGCATAGATACTGCCCCCCTTGATCATGACATTGAGGAACATGCCTGACCATCACAATACTCTTGATGATGCTGACCGGAATAACAGCACTGCTCAAACATGAAACTTCAGGACTTCAAGGCTTGAAAGAAGAAGTAAGGCTGAGTCATTTCAAATGAGAAAATATTCCAATATTCGTCCTTCCATTCAATCGAATATTCAATTATTGAGTCACACCCGATTCCAACAAAGGCAGAAACAAAATGTGGATATCTTTTAGGGTGGTCTATCGATAAATAAGTGAGTTCCAGGACGGGGTCCATCTCCTCGTTGAAGAAGGATGGGAGACTGACTGATGTTCAGTCCTGATTGGGAATTTTACTCCCTTTGTTCCCGGCAACCTCAAAAAAAAAAAAAAACAAACAAAAACAAAAAAACCGGAAAACTAAATCTGTGGCCTTACTGTTGGGCATATATATTGACTGCCTTTAAGTCGACACATACGTTACACTTTTAGAGAGCAATTTTTCAATCCAATAACTGAATATTTTCCCTGCTGTATTTCAGTAATTTTCCTCTCCAACTATTCAATTTCAAAAATAATCAAGTACTTGACAACCGAATGAATATCTGACTATGAGGAACCTTACCATTTCATCCGTATGAATTAGGAGAATAAAACTCTCCATTGGTGCTTTCCCTTGAATCAAACCTGGAAATTTCAAGAGCCTAGCCACGCTCAGGCAGTGTCCTACGTTGCAAACAAGATGGACCAAGAAAGAAATTCGGGGGACTGCTTCTGCAGTTCCGATGTCAGAGTCACTTTCACTCTTTTGGGGTGAAACGTTGACAGTGGGTGACGTCCTTAGGAAAAAGCCAGACCTGGTCACACAACAAATGTAGAATGGATAATCTAACAAACAGTTTTATATGTTTACAATGTAGGGTGGAGCGCAAGGTGATGGGGCTGTGTTTGGGGTGGCGCTTTTGAGTTAATCGTATATTTGATTGCAACCGTATTTTCCTGGGGGTCAGAACATGCCCGAATGCTGAACGGCAAGTCCTCAGTGTCTGAGGGTGAGTCCCCACTGCTGAATGTCATTTTGGCCGAGTCTACACACAAAAAAAAACCATCCTGATTCACTGAATAGGCTCACTCTACAGACAATGCCATGTTCATTTCTACAGCACCTCATCCAAAGTCAAACGACCCATACACACACACAGGACCGTACCAGCAGTAACCGGATGTCTGCATCAATTTACATGGATGCATATTAAATTTGCGTGCGGTACAATGCAAACATTCCATAAAAAAACATTAAAGGCACAAGTGACTTTTCAGTTGTTTCACACTATAATATAACCCCATTTGCAAAAAAATTTGAGCTCATAAAACCTTGGATCTCTTAAAACTGCAAAATCCGAGGATTAGGTGTTGTAAAACAAATACACAATTTTTCTAATTGGCAACTGCAAGCCAGCCGGCCTCTATGAAGCGTGGAGACTACAGGCCAAATGAATTACAGGTATTTAATTAGGCCAAGGCTATACATTGTGCTACTGATGTTCCAAAGTGCACAGCGATAGTGCTGCTCTGAATGCTGAACTTGGTAGAGCAGTGTTGTGGCAAAGCTGTTCAGAACACCCACAGTGCAGCCTACCCTGTTGAGCTGAGGGCTTGCTTTATGGAATCCAATTTGCCAAGCCAATTGGCATTTAACACCATGCAACTTCCCTGCCTAATTCCAAAAAAAAAAACCAAAAACAAAAAACAAACCAACAGCAACAGCATATAAGCCCAGGCCTTAAGTGCCCAGAAATTCCAGAAATAGTTGTGGTTTGTTGGAAAAAAATTGAAAGTATTGCCTTACTGAAAGACCTGAAAAACTCCACTCACTTGGCCTAGGGAAAACCTGTTGTCATGGCGTTGTCCTACGGCAACCAACTTGCAGCCAATCACAGCTGGCGTTACATTCCGCTTGGTGTGACATACGGTGCACGTAATTGGCTGGTAGCAACACTGATCCTTTTCACTCCAATGAGCATTTAGAGCAAAATCTAGAAAGAAAAAAAAAGAAGAGACAACTACATGTATTTCCAAGTCCCCAAACATACTGATTTTTCTTCTCCATTTCCGAAAAACAGACACAAAGTGTTACTAAATTGATACAGGAATTTGACTGAATTGCAATCAGATGCAAATGCAGGCATGGCAAAAGAGCCCACGTTTCAAATTGAATTACACTTAACAAGAACTTCCTCTGAATGTTCACAGTGAAATTTTTGGTGAACTTTTAGCGAATTCACACATTGAATACTTGTGAGGTCGCAAATTTTGGTTTGCAGTTGCCCTCATGCAGAGGACAAATCAGCCTCGAGTGGTGGATCGTTTAAACAGGCAATTCTACTCTCAGTACCTGACAACTAAATTTTATGCCAAATTCAGGCACAAACACAGCAACAGGTGCAGGCACCTTGCCAAAAGAATACTCATAAGAAAATTTACACGGATGCGGAGGCAGTTCTTAGGGCTGAGTCAATTCAAATAATTCACTATTCGAATATCCGACCTTCCATTTGATCAAATATCCCCATATTTAGTAGTCCCGACCAGCAGATAATTGATGAACGAAACACATACAAAATCAATTGCAATGATGCACACCATTGTACATTATGATCAATATAATACCTTCTCACATCTAGAAATATCTCCAGCCACGATTTAGCAAGATTTAGAGATGAACAATACTTCTTGCCCTATTGAAAATGTCTATTCCTTTTAAACTTTTTAATGAATAATTTACTTTTAGAATCGTGGTAAGATTTCTGTCACTTTTCATTTGAATCTGCTTGAAACAAGCCGCCACAGTGCAATTTTTCTCATTTAAAACAAAAGAAAATTCTCCCTTCTTTTTCATGAATTTTGCATCTGAATATTCATATTCAGAAAAAAAGTATTTGAGTATTCGATAATTGATCAAATATTCAAATATTTGGCATAGCCCTAGCAGTTCTCTCAGTAAACTACAACTAAAAAGGAAAATTGCACAAACTACATCCAATCTCTTCAAGTAATTTCTAAAATTTTGCTTTTTCTTCACAAAACTCACAACTAACTTAAGATATGAATCTCGAAGATGTAGAGCATGAATCAGGGGTGTGTGGGTGGCCACTTAAAATTGAAGCTGAAAACAGCTAGCAAAAAGCTGAAGTGTAAAAAGTTCCCATACTTAGTGTACCTAAAAAGCTGAAATTCCGGGTTAACATCTGAACAAAAAACAAGCTGAAATCAGCTAAAAAGATGAATTCTCACACTTCTGATGAACTAAAGAGCACGCTTCTCATATCAATTCTCCTCCCCTTGGGATGATATGCACATACATGCAAAACCCCCAATCTGGCCCTCGCAGGTTTCTGAATGGTCGTTTTCAGGGTGACCTGCTTTTCGCTTCTTCAGGGAATAACGCATTACAACAAAGCCCGAACACTGCCCGTTTGAGTGTTCATAACCTCTGAGGAGGGGAAATTTTGGTAGGGTGATTTGTGACTTGTGCCGATCATCTCAACGTGAGCATCCAATTAGGCATAAATGCTTTTACTCCCCCGTCAGCCAAAAACATTAAGGGAGTAATATCGCCCGGTGCAAGGCACTGCCTCATAAAGACAATGGGCAATTACTGCTTGGGCATTGCCGGGTGTCTGATCTCGGCGTCTGGATCCCCCCCCCAGTCACGGGCAAGCATTGCACGTCGCCACATCTCACCTGGCCTGCCACAGTCACAGGTGAGCGGGCTAATTGACATTGCAAAACCATTAACGGGTTCGCCTGCCGCAGTGCCCACCGACTACGTGGCGCCTTCTGACGGCACCTTGAATTCACAGCGTACAGCCCCCAGCCTCCAGTAGCTGGCACTGGGTAAATATCTCCGGGTCTGTAACCCATCAGCAGCACCACTGAGCCGCGCTACTGTTGACGCCAACAGTGCCTGTGTCGTAAAGCCCAACCCATGATAAATTACCCCTGTGTAAATCTACTTCCACCATTAAGAAATGAAATGACACAAATGGGGAATTCTGTGGAAGACGCTCGTCTACGTCATCACAACCTCCTCTTTCCCCACCCATGTATCAGAATGTCATTACATGGATGGGGACCGACTGAGTACTCCCACACATTACTTGTGCAAGCCAGCATCCTCATCCGTCAGTGGCTTTTTAATTAATTAATGCTGCAATGAAACTGAGTTATTGGCAGTCCACTCAAGGGACTATGAAGGTCTTCTGGTGGGTTACTGCACTGACCATGTTGTGCTGTAGCCACAAGTAAGAACTGAAACGAAATAAGCAGGGTTATTCTATACCTTGGCAGAGTGAGTGGAGGAATGCTGCTCGGAATGTACATTAGATCATGAAAAATGTGATCTCTTCCTGGGCCCTAGGCCCAACACAACCTGGAGCGATACCAACCAGAATTACATAAGTGGCATATTACAAAAGCTTGTCAGGGAAAGGAAGGTTTACGTGGAAATATTTGTGTATATCCCCATCGAAACGAGGAAAAACATATGTGTACATTTTATGCGCAGTGAGGATTTGTGATGCGCAGAGTGCTTGGGAGGGGTCGGCACATTCTTACACACTCATCTCATTAACTACTTCTGGCTACATTGAGACACTTACTACTGCTGTTTCTTTTCTTGAAGTCATTTTTTTTTCCATTCAATAAACTTCAATTAGGTATAACTGGCTGGAGCACTGAATGGCAGATTGAAAAGTTTTACCTGCAATCGGTGTACGGCACACAACATTATTTTGGGAAAGAACAGGTTTTTTTTGTTTTCCCAGAGTTTTGCAAAAGCAAAAATAACATTTCCTGCCACAATTTGCCCATGAGAAGGAAACCCACACAGTGTAAAATTTTCACAAAGAATGTAGAGATATTAAGAATTTGGGATGGGAATAGCCAAGACAGACCGAATAGACATGCACAAAGAGAATATGTTGGGGATGGGTTGTTAACACAGTATTTTACCAAGCTGTTCGCTGCAGGAAAAGAAATGACAGAGAGAGAATCACATTTAGGAAACACTTACTGCCTTTGGCATGCCGGAAAACTGCCGTTTTCCGGTGTTGTAGTCCAGTACTTTCTGAGTACCAACATTCTCCGTAAAATAATGAACTGGGTAAGAGGGAATAAAGCCAGGGTGCACAGGCATTTGATGGTAAATGTGCAAAGGTAAGATTCCAAAATAAATGTCAGACTTCAGACACTCCCAGCTGTGTAAAATTTAAGTTTTAAGGAGAAAAGTGCTCGGAAAGAACTCGGCCGAGTACTTTCCAAGTACTTTTGTCCTAAAAAGTTTATTTTAAATCAAACAGTGATGGTCCGAAGTTATTATGTCACATTGTAATCTTACCTTTATTCATGTACCATCAAATGCTGATGTACTTCAGCTTTGTTCCCTCCTAACTAGTTAAATATTTGGCAGAGAACTTGGTTCTCAAAAAGAACTTGACTACAACACTGCCGTCTTCACACACAACACTGGCGGGCATTTCAACACCTACTATCAGACGTTACCCACACAGTCAAATAAAGATGATCAAACTGACAATAGAGGGCTTAACCCCTCGCATTGTTTTAAGGGTACAGTTAGACTCCTAAACATGTGAAATTATTGCAAGACGCACATCACAATGAAGAGTGGTCAGACATCAGACTCTTGATCTTCTGAAGAGAAACTCTTTGAACAAAGGGGAAAAAGTACGGGTTGCACATTGGCCGTGAACAGGGCCTTAATCGGTGCAACTGGTCAGCAAGCACATCTCTAGTAATGCATATCACCTTCAAAAGGAAGGCAACTAGAAAAAAAGTTATACATTTTTGGAAACTTTTCAAATGTGGCGGCAAAACGCTCACAATGTTTTCTTTGGTTTTGAGGCATATAGAGGGTATACCAGTTATAATCACAATCATGTTAGGATTAACATACGGTAGGAAAGGAAAAACAGAAAATAGGGACACATATGGAAAACGGTTTTGAACAATTCATTGAAAGAACAATCACAAAACGGTCTGGGCTTACTGCCTCATATTGAATATTTGTGCAACTGTGGATCATACAAGGGAATGGGGCAGATTCTATAGGCCAAAGTAATAAACAAGGGTCGTGTACGTCTCTCCCTGTCACAACAGCATAAGTGCTGAAGTTATGCATGGACTATCATTCCATGGTCCATGTACCAACGCCTCACACTCAATGAATGCAAAGGTCCATCGCCGTTCTTTGCTGACCCAAATTTGCTTCTTTTGCAGAGATGAGTTAGACGGAGAAAATGGATGGCTTTTTTTGTCATTCCCTCATCCAAAGAGTAGCATTTAGACATAGTTGTGATGAACACACATGTACATGTAGTCCATCATCTTTTTGGTCTTAGGTATGTGAATTTGTTCCGCCACTCCTTTCCCAATCTTCCTAATGGACACGGTACAAATAATTCATGCTGACGACAGGAATGGTCCGAATAATTTCATGAGATGACAGATGGAATATTTATCTGTCACTGAATAAGAACACAAATATGAAACTTTCATTATTCATTGCATAAACGAATAACTGCATGACATATCTTTTAGTGATGAGCTGCATTGGGGCATAATGAAAAGTGTAACTGTGCCAATGGACGGATGAATGTCAATCAATCCATTTTTATCAAGCTGTGATCAGTGATCCACCAATCAAATAATAAGGATTTGGGCATAAGGAATGTCCTGGCTTGAAGTACAAACTTCCACAGCCTCTTATGGCTTAAACTCCTGGGTGGCTACCCGGCTGCAGGGCCGAGCCGGTAGGGTCAAGCTAGAAACACAAGTGTGCAGGCATGCCATACATACATGTGCATGTAGTGTGGACCTCTGCACACAATAAGTCCACATAATGTAGGGTGTTTTGTGTGGACTCACACAACGTCCATCAAATGTTTTCCCCTCTCTGAAAAAACAGTTTCAGAGGCATTTGGGGGACAAGGTTGTCCGTGGCAAAATGAAGAGGAAC